ATGCAATTCAGAGCGCTAGAACCTGTGGCGCCTATCTGCAATCGTGTTTTAAGGAGGAAAAGCCGCACTGGAGTATTAGCCTCACTGAGATTTTTTTTTGGCACAAACCGCAGTCTTCTAGCCTATTAATTTGATCATAGTTAATTTGCCCATCGTAGTAGAAGACATTTTTGGGTGAATTTCTCTCTTCCGCCCTTTTGTTTACTGGTTCGAGGGAAATATGCAAACGGGAAAAGCCTGAAGAGAAGACAGTGACTGTCATCACCATGACTCGAACCAGAAACCTTCGCTTGAGACCAGCCATGCTGTAACCGAGTAATTCACTTTCCCTCACATTCACTGTTATCGGGTGCAAGACCTTAGTCACCAATGTCTACAAATTGGATTCATGGCGCTGGTATGGATGAGGTCGGACAAAGAGGGCATGTGGTGGAGGTTGAGCCAAGTCAAATAGATAAAGCGCTGTAAATATAAAGATAAATGTACCCAGTCTCTGGTACATTTTACTGAAAGAGAGAAAAAACCCAATTGAAAACCCGACTCGCTTAAAACAACTTTGATTGGAATTCCACACTATTGGAAATATAAAGGTCAAGGATACCGAAATTCCTTTCAAAAAATTGGTGTGCACCCATACACCAATACAAACATGCACACACACACAAACACACACACACACACACACACACACACACACACTCACACACACTCACACACACACACACGCCTGCGCGCACACACACACACACACACACTCACACACACACACTCACACACACACATGCCTGCGCACACACACACACAAACACACACACACACACACACACAGACACACAGTAATTTCTATATGGCTTACAGTTCGTGGAGGTTAGGCATTGGACTAGCCCAGCCTGTAGAAAATGAACTCGACATCAGAAGGTTGTCCTCCAGATGACTGCACAGAACAGAAAGTCGTCATGAGACAATGCAGAAAGCAACAAATAGCGTATTTTGACCAATAGCATATTCTGATGCTGGCAACCTTTAATAGCGGTAAATCAGGCTATGGCATTCGGAACACTCGCACCTGGCATTTTCAAACTCTGAGAACCGACAGCTTCCAACAACTTCTCAGGGTCTCTTTATGCAAGTCTCTCAATGTTTCAATTGCCTACCATCAATGGTCCGCAATATTAAAAAAAACATATTAAGCAATGTCATTGTATTGTTTGAGATGCTTTTTTCTGACTATTGCAGAAGAAGGTGGCTGCTCCAGACGTTGGACCTCGCGTTTGATTGCAACTGACTGACACTTGGAAGTGCGAGCTCCAACGCTTGCAACAGGTACAGTCCGTATCGCCTATAAGGTTGGCGGCTATAGTAATATACCGGATATAGTGATCAATTTCTCAAATTCATTTTCATTTACCATAACTAAGTATACACAGTTATCGCGTATAGTAATAATCGTCTATAGTAATATATCGCCTATAGTGATCAAATTCATATTTCAAAAGACCTTTATTCCCGTAGCTATGCAGAAGACGTTACTTCAGTAACGTCTGGCGCTAGCCAGGGTCCACACAGCTTTAATTTGGTGTTTGTTTGTTTGTTTGTTTATTTGTTTGTTTGTTTGTTTGTGTCACGCCTGGCGCTATCCCGTATCTGTCCCGTACTGTACCGTACTAGCAAAGACAGCTGGCCCCGATATTTTTGTTTGTTTGTGCCATCGAAATGCCTGGCGCTATCCCGTACCTGTCCCGTACCATCAAGGGTACGGTACCAACAAGAGAATGAGTATATATGCGGAGTGTATCGGGGGAATGCATTCAGTGCAGTAACATTTTGTGTGGATTTGTGTGCGAGGCCGAGATCCCACTAGCAGGCTGGCTGGGCCGCCTGTCGACCAGCCCGGGAATCGCATGTAGGCCGATAGCATAATAATTATAACGTATATACAGTCATGTAGATGTATAGCAGGGAGTCATAATTATTATGTAAACGACTCCCTGCTGTATGGAAAGAAATACGAAGTAGGGAGACGAGTAAATACAATCAGAATGGATGTTAGTTGCCGTCAGTATAATAATAAGAAGAAGAAGAACGTCAGACATCCCGTTGACTCCAGAACGCCCGTGATCGGCAGAGTCAGCGCCGGTCCCATAGCTATGCAGAAGGCGTTACTTGTACTTCAGTATCTCATTGAAACGTTTTTGCAATACAATGATGTAGCTAATCAAAGGAAAAAGCATTTCCATCAGTTCTAACAACATGCACGATGAGCTAGGCAACAAAGCATAGCGCAGGGCCCTGAGCTTCCAAGCTCTCTCGTTACACTATTTTTGCGTCGGTTATAGTGATTGATGTGAAATCAAGCGAAGTCAGAGAAGAACAGGGTGTTACTTCTTCGTGAAGAACTTGTCCAGTGGGTGTTGTTTGGTGAGTTTTGCTTGTACAAGTTGCCAAAATATGCCTCCATCATGAGGAAATGCTGATTTTGTGTGTCCGGAGCTACAGCCAGCTACATGACATTGTACATGTATGTAATGCGTATGGGCACGGCGCGCTGAGTCATTTGACACCCCACTTGCATACATTGCATGCAGTATTGGTCATAGTAATAATTATATCGCTTAAAGTGATAAAATGATCAAAATCAAACACCAACGCTATAGGCGATACTGACTGTATCTTCTTCTACAATTACTGCCGAAATTGCGACATCTCAGTTCTTCCTCATGAAAGTCGATATGCCCGTTTGATTGCGATGTAAAATAATAGCAATATTATTGACCCCCACAGAAATTTATGATCTCTAAGCGGTCAAATATCAGCATATATTGACCGCTTTATATTGACCGCTTTATATTGACCGCTTTATATTGACCGCTTTATATTGACCACTTATTATTGACCACTTAGCCCGAGGACGTTTTCCTTTTTTTTCCTCAACTTAGAAAAAAATCAGAACTGAAAGAAGAAAAATCTGAAGCCAAACGTTGGGATTCGAACCCAAACTGTCAGATTCTCAGTCAAAGAACTTGGAAGTAATGTCCAATGTAAACGGCAAATGTACATACTATGTATTACTATTACAATAGTATTCCTTTCTTTCTATAAACACAGCTAAAAACAGTTTAGATATGCTATGTCGTGATAAATCTTTTATTGCCCTCATAATCGGTCAATATATGAAATATATTGACCTCTTTAATCGTGCAATAATAGTTACATACAAAATAAGAGCAGTGATTTGCATGATGTGCGCTCAACTTACAGAACCCTAAGATAACTCAGGCTGAATCCAAAAGAATGTCCTTGCAGCTGTTCGATTGAACTCCTCTGGAAATACCTGCAGGAAATAACACATATGTAGGCTTTCTAAGAAGAAAAATTGGCAGCTAAAAAGATCAGTCACACCACCATCCCGGAATGCGATCACGGCCGACCCCTCACATTTTGGACAGAACTTTGACACTGAGGTCAGTTCATTTTGAGGTGTTACGGACTCTCCAGACAGATAGATATCCACCTGCAACAAAGCTCACAACTTGGAGGAGCAAAATATCGATGATTTCGGTATGTAGAAAGGAAAAGGACATATGGAAACGAGTTAAGAGTAACTCTCCACCACTGTAACTAGATACTATATACAGTCAGAAAGTGCAACAACTAGGCACAAAACTGACAGAGTACTGAGACATTCGACGTCCTGACACCTAGCTTCAACACATCTCCGTAGCGCTAACCGACGCACTTTCTGACTGTATAATTATAGTATTTAGTTACAGTGGTGGAGAGTTACTCTTAACTCGTTTCCATATGTCCCTTTCCTTTTTATTATTGGCTCAATACCCGAGTTTCAAATTTCGGTATGGGGATTTAAATTACCGTAAAATCCCGCCAGAGCGCCCCGTCTCTCCCATCCACCCCTCCCTGGCTTCTTGTCAGGGACGTGATTGATTGTACCCTCGTATGACTCTGTCGCAACGCCCCTTGTGGTCGACGGAGAACGAATTGCAGAGGTGAGCAGTTTCAAGTATCTGGGATCCTGGAAGACAACAAACGGTGATTGCAGCCTCGATATTCGGTCAAGAATTGCCATGGCGAAAGAGCGTATGCTGCAGTTAATTGACATCTGGAAAGACCACAACATCTCCAGACAGCTGAAAATCCGGATAATGCATGCCTTAGTGTGGTCTGTCCTGCTGTATGGAGCTGAGAGTTGGACTCTGCGGAAGACAGATGAACGACGAATACAGGCAGCAGAAATGTGGTGCTACCGACGTCTGCTCAGAGTATCCTGGATGGAGAAGCGCACAAATGACAGTATCCTGGTGGAGTTGGGAGTACAGAGACAGCTGCTAGCCAGGGTCCGGATACGCAAACTGACCTATTTCGGGCACACATGCCGCCCAGCTGGCTGTGAGCTTGTACGTGACGTGATGTTTGGTGTCGTGGATGGTAAAAGAAAGCGTGGTCGTCCGAAGATTTCCTTTGCTGACAACATCGTTTCGTGGACTGGTATGTCTCTGCATGAGAATTGCCAGTTGGCATCTGACAGAGATGCCTGGCAGTCGCACTGTGCATCTACTGCTTACACAGCTGCATAATGCCGTTTATTATTATTTTTTAAATTTTACTTTTATTATTTTTTCGGCAACGCAGATGATGATGATGATGATGATGATGATGACTCTGTCGCAGTCTGTGATGCCGTACTGTACTGCAGACGCGTGCTCGACACTGTTGGAAATAGTGCCCACCCTCGAGCGGAGAGAGAGGGCCTACCAGGGATCGCACAAACCCTGCATTTTGTCGGGTCTGTACGACTCCTGGCTCTTGACCTTTGGTCGGTGTACGAGATGCACGAACAGTTTTCGTAGGGTGAGGACTTTTTCATGTAGCACCAGGGGTTATGTACTCTTGGTAACACTGAATGCGGCAAGTAGGACTCGCCCATCCGCCCCTCCCCACCTGAAACGTCGAGAAGGTAGGGGCGCTCTGGCGGGATTTTACGGTAATATACATTAAATTACTAGGGTATCTGAACTCCAGAATACCGTCTCTTTGCTGCAAAAAAACACTGGTAATACTTATGAATTCGCCACATTTTCGGGCACGTGCAAGGGGCTGCACTGGAGGCTGCGGGTTCTTCGAAAAGGTTTATGCAGAAGTACATTGTATGTCATATGCACATAAGGGTACACCCACTATTGGCCAGGGTATGTCAGGACCAATCAAAATCTGCCTCCACCAGTCCTGCTAACCTACGGCATAGTCTCCATGTGATGAGCAGCCATGCGATGATGTGATGAGCAGCCATTCAAACGTGTCTTCAGACTTCGAAACTCATGCTTCCTATAAATCCACGCAACCTGAAGCAATCAAACTTACAGATATTGCAGGTGACGTTTACCTTTCAAGGCATTTGGTATGGAGACTGGGAATGCCCCATGATGAGTCCTGTGCAAGTGACAATACAAACAGTAAACTAAAGTTGTAACATGGGAAAATTTGAGCACAAGTTATGCGATCGCGTCCACCAACTATACCAGATTTTGAGCAGTCAGACATCCACAATATAGCACAGAACTGACAGGGAGTACTGTAATAGGTAGCCGAGTGGTAGGCGCGGTGAATCAACAATAATTACTTTTATTCTACTTTCAGGTACACACCTGAGATATAATCGTTAGTGAAAGAAGAAGCTTTTATGCAGCAAACACCGTACGCTTATATGCGAAGATACACTAAAATTAATACATAAGGTCGCTCCGTATTGCTTCCGTATTACTTCCGTATTGGTCGGGCAGGGATACTACAGTACTGAGACAATCATACGGGATGTTACAATTCGTCCGTGGCCTACCATCTGAGTTAGTAAACTTAAATCTACCTGAAGAAAAAAGCAGCGGCCAGCATACGGCGATCCAACCTGTCCATCGTAGGCATACACACACCTCATTGCTGATAAGACCCTGGCACTGAACAAGAGGAGCGAAGTCGTCGCAAAGTGCATAGCAGGCACGCAAAAAAGTTCCGACTCGTGAACTTCCAAGGAGTCACCTAGAATGACCAATACGCCAAATGTAACGCCCTGCCTACGTATGAGCATCGCGTGAACAGCCTGCACACTCTGCCAATTCATACACCATACTCAACGCCATATCCAACACATGCACACAGTACAAGTTCAGAGCCCTAAAGAAGCGGGTTGGAATGGTACAGGATTTGGATTCAGAGGAACTATAGGGCATAAAGAGCAGAGGTTGTCGAAAGATGGTACTGTTTGTCAGCTTAGCACTCAAATGTTATTCCGGTGATTGTTACCTGTGCTCCACTGTTATCCGTATCTTCAGCTGCAGTGGAGAAGGAACTGGCGAGTTTGGCAGCCTGGAGATTTGCTGGGAATGTATGCTTCCCTAACGCCATGGTGAATCCATCTTTGTCAGTGTCGGGTGACTGATGAGTTGCCTTTTCTCTGCCACTGCAGAATCTGTTGCCCTCCTGCATTGGCATCATGGTCTCACCGCGTTCCTGCTGCAGTGTCTGTGAAAGCTTCTGCATGGCAGTGGTTTAACAGGTTTGGACTTTTATTTTTATTTGTCCTGAACTGCAGGCGGTCCAGCAGCTCTATCTGTAGTCATCTCCGAGTCAGCCGTTGAACTATCATGGGCTGGTACCTCACGCTCAGGGTCCATGACCTGACCTGTACTCGACCTTGAACCAGCGTTATGAATGCCGCACGGTAATGTGAAGTCTGAGTAGAAGCATGCGAAAGGCTACTTGTAAAGAGGGGGGGAAAACCACGAAGTGAGAAACCCGCGAGGATGGAAATCCTGGAATCTATACCTGTGGAAATGGGACTTAACGTGCCGGCTAAATACAGCACGGGTTTCAGATATCCTAATCTCGGTTATTTGATATGCGCCCTTCTTGCCAACTCCTCCATGTCCCAGTTTGTTTTCTGAGAGCCTTTCCCCACATACACGTATTTCCATTAACAACGGGTGTCCATGCCGGAAATTATGGATACGAAAAAGCGATAGTTGCGCAGAATAAATATCGATTGCGCTTTCGTAGGATACTGTTACCTTTACAGTCCGTATCGCCTATAAGGTTGGCGGCTATAATAATATACCGGATATAGTGATCAATTTCTCAAATTCATTTTCATTTACCATAACTAAGTATACACAGTTATCGCGTATAGTAATAATCGTCTATAGTAATATATCGCCTATAGTGATCAAATTCATATTTCAAAAGACCTTTATTACACTATTTTTGCGTCGGTTATAGTGATTGATGTGAAATCAAGCGAAGTCAGAGAAGAACAGGGTGTTACTTCTTCGTGAAGAACTTGTCCAGTGAGTGTTGTTCGGTGAGTTTTGCTTGTACAAGTTGCCAAAATATGCCTCCATCATGAGGAAATGCTGATTTTGTGTGTCCGGAGCTACAGCCAGCTACATGACATTGTACATGTATGTAATGCGTATAGGCACGGCGCGCTGAGTCATTTGACACCCCACCTGCATACATTGCATGCAGTATCAGTCATAGTAATATATCGCTTAAAGTGATAAAATGATCAAAATCAAACACCAACGCTATAGGCGATACTGACTGTATATTTTTTCGATTAATGCGTGCAGTGTGGCTTCATCGGAGACTGTGCTCTCTTAGTTAGAGTAAATACAGTATGCCTGTGGACATGTACTTCCCTTTCATCCCGTACACCGTTCCAGGAACTTCCTTGATTATTACGCATTTTCTTTTGGTACTTTTGGAGAATTCAACAAATATAGTCTGAATGAATAGATGAATGAATGAATGAACTTGTACACACTGGGATGCAATCAACACTTACAAGCTAGTACAGATGGACGAGTCGGTGAAAATTGTGCAGTTGTGCTGGTCTCGACATGTACCGTATGACTTCAATGGCTGGTCCTTGGCATAACCAGAATCACACTTCAGATCATAGTAGTCGGTACGTTGCTTAACAATTTGCAGCCCGTGTGGTATTCTCCCTACAGTCACATGGAGAAAAACACCACCAAAAATCGGGCAAAAAATGAAGCTTACATTTCTCTCTACTTCTCTAAAAAAAGTAATATTCTACAAACTCCCCATAATTTTTCACAAAACGCGGCATATTTTCTATCAATTTATAAAATGCATGTCTGTCATACCCTAGATATTACCAAGAGTACATAACCCCCCCTGTTCTTTTGATAATATTACGAAGTAGGTTAATCTTCATCATTAGCCATCCATGCAATTTCTTCATCATTTCTAGGAACTGGCACCTGGCCGGTGAGAAGGCATCCTTGCCTGTAACTCTCATGAAGTAAAATGAATAATAATAATAATAATGTAAAAGAGAAAAGGACATATGGATACGAGTCTAGAGTAACTCCCCATCACTGTAACATGATACTATATACAGTCAGAAAGTGCAATAACTAGGCACAAAACTGACAGAGTACTGAGACATTCGACGTCCTGACACCTAACTTTAACACATCTCCGTAGCGCTAACCGACAGCCTTCCAACTTGGAAGGTTCAAGGTTATGGAAAGACCAAAGAGGGGAAGGCAAGCGCAACGAAAACGAGCCAAAAGCTACAGTCCCAACGGAACAAAGAATGTCGATTGTTACTGGACGATGACGAGACCAGTACGATATTTGACAAAGCGGTCTAACTACAATTCGAAGCAGCAAAGCAGCACACCACCCAACTTGGGTGGGTCATAAATATCAAAGATAAGTAAAGAAAGGGAAGCTTTGCGAAAACGAATTGTGCAAGCCGAAAGCCAAACTCCTACAGTACTCCTCATGCATGACATTGTGATGGACTAGTTGACTACAAACCAAGTTGTTTCACACGACGTACGTTTCGCCGTATGGTTCGTGACGGCTCATCAGGTGTGCAATTTGAAACTCGGATGTTGAGCCATAAATAAATGTAAAAGAGAAAAGGACATATGGATACGAGTCTATGTTACAGTGATGGGGAGTTACTCTAGACTCGTATCCATATGTCCTTTTCTCTTTTACATTTATTTATGGCTCAACATCCGAGTTTCAAATTGCACACCTGATGAGCCGTCACGAACCATACGGCGAAACGTACGTCGTGTGAAACAACTTGTTTTGTAGTCAACTAATAATAATAATAATAATAATAATACTTCGAAGTAGTTACAGTTCGCATGTCACTCATGGAAGGATCCATGGGATTAACACATCTGTCAACGAAATCCAGGCAGAAGAGCCGACAAAAGGCATCTCATTATTGTTAGAACGTATCGCAATAAGAACAACTACGCAAGTGCAGCACATTTTTCCACAAGCATCAGCCCTTTTTCTTGTCTAGAGCCAGTTCAAAACAGTCAGAAATATCAATATTGGCGTGCTTTAGATCATTTTTAATATTGTCAATCCATCTGAGATGAAACAACAACAAAAACACCAACAATCTGTACTCCCATGTCGTTTCCACTGGTAGTGCAATCTAAGTCATCCACCACGCATGGCTTGTTCTCGCTCGTATCTTTCTAATCAAAGATATAAAAAAAACAATTCAGTGTCGCAGGTGATGATCACAAAAGAGCTTCTATTAGGTGTCATTCCATGGTGATTCCACAGCGAGACCCAAACAAACAAAAAAACATTTTACAAAAGAAAAATGGACCAAAGAACTGTGTGCGTACAAGTTATCCAAAGCATATCAATGCAATCACATACAGTCGACTTTGCGCATAACTACCTCCGGTGGGGCATCAGAAAGGTGTCCTGTTTGGCGAAGTGTCCTTATACCCGAAGTCTCATTATATTATGTACATGTAGACAGTTGGAGGGGACTTTGCTCTGGAAATGTAAATTCTGTCGTTGTCCGCGAATTGTCGTTATATCCGCAGTCGCTATTAGCCAAGTTGACTGTACGTGTGTACAAACTTTAAGTATGTACGACGTACGTATGTCTTGTTTATGCTGCGTGTCACTTGGTCTGCCACCCGTGTTGCGTTCCCTGTTTCGGCTATTGCTACTGCACTGTTCTAGTCAGAAATTAGTGTTGATAGGGAAACCGAGTGCGAACCGGGCTAGCCTTTGTTGGTGCGTACCCGTGTTTGTTTGTATTCCTCCGACGGTGTGGCACGCACATGTGATTATAGCAATAAAAACTGCTTTATGGCAGTTTTCTAAAAAAAGTTATTGTGTTCTAGTCCATGGACCCCGTCTAAAAAGTAAGAAATTAACGAAATGTGATAGCTGAAAATTAAAATTTCACACAAAACCTCACAATAATCACAACACTTGAAATGCTGCTTTCAACACTAAACTTGTACTGCACCAACAATTGGCAACATGCATGCATAGGAAAGAGGATCACGAGGGGAAAATGTCTTCTGCATGTAGCTTTTCATTCTGTGTGTGATTATTGCGAGGTTTTGTGTGGAATTTTAATTTTCAGCTATCACATTTCGTTAATTTCTTACTTTTTAGACGGGGTCCATGGACTAGAACACAATAACTTTTTTTAGAAAACTGCCATAAAGCAGTTTTTATTGCTATAATTTCTTTTGTTTTTTCTGTCACCATGTACCAATCAATGGAATGCCCTATATCAAGAGTACATAACCCCCCAGAGTGTGCAACGCCTGATCCAGCTCTGCATAGGGTCTTGGTCGAGCGGAATCGGATCTTTGCGTCATAATACCGTACACATCTGAGGGGAACCCGGGGAGTCGGGGGTACTCTTGGATCAAAAACAATGGTGCCCTGCCTCGAGACCGGCCTTGCGCTGGTGTGAAGTGTACGCATGACTTCAGAAGATCCGATTCCGCTCGACCAAGACCCTACACAGAGCTGGATCGGCGTTGCACACTCTGGGGGGTTATGTACTCTTGCCTATATCAATATGTAAATGATGGCCTTCACATCATATCAATACCATATTATCAAGAGTACATAACCCCCCAGAGTGTGCAACGCCGATCCAGCTCTGTGTAGGGTCTTGGTCGAGCGGAATCGGATCTTCTGATGTCATGCGTACACTTCACACCAGCGCAAGGCCGGTCTCGAGCCAGGGCACCATTGTTTTTGATCCAAGAGTACCCGCGACTCCCCGGGTTCCCCTCAGATGTGTACGGTATTATGACGCAAAGATCCGATTCCGCTCGACCAAGACCCTATGCAGAGCTGGATCAGGCGTTGCACACTCTGGGGGGTTATGTACTCTTGATATTATACGCATTGATGTGCAAGCCTTTTCTTGCAGAAAATGGCACTAGCATAATGCATGTTCTTCTGCGGGGAAACATGTGAGCAGTGGTAGTGATACTTTTTTATACGGAGGCCATTCTGTGCATGTTGCTGTTGCAGAATTTCATGAAATTGTCTTGCCTTTCAGATTTCTCCACCCTCAATCAGATTTATTTGAGAAATGTAGCCATGCGCCAGGTGCGTGTCGCAGATGTTTTTGTTAATTCTGTGTTTATAATGATTTATAGTCATGGGTTATCGTGATAAGGTCATCCAGCATCATATTGAAACTGAAATCGTAATCCTGTCGATGTCGATACAACTTTTGGAAGTAGTTCAATGACTTCAAACTGTTAGTCCACGATTGTCTAAAACAACACAGCAAAGGAGGAACAATAAACATGTATTAAAATGTAAACGAATACATTGCTGAGTCCAAAACCTCGTTCCAACAACTACACTGATCCTGAGGAGAAAAGGGGCAAGGCTATGGTTGGAGGTACTGAGAGATAAACAAGGCACTCCACAATAATAAAGTCTTACACATCTTTTGGTGAGTATGAATGATATCTAGTCCTCTTTAGGACCTCTTTAGGACGAACACCAAGGGAACGATGGTATTTATTCTGTGAGCTTAACCTATTTTATAACCAGAGAACACAATTATATCTCCAATAGACATACGAATAGATTTCTTCTACAGCGAAAGATTCTTAGCCACACCGACTCATTGACTCGTCTCGTATGAAACAATTGAGTCACTAGAGAGATTCTGCAAAACGAAACGCGTACAAACTTTCGCTCTACATCATGAAGTGCGAAACTTGCAGGGAACGCGAAATGAACTGTCGTAGGAAATTTCGTGAGATCGGGTCATGGCGTACGTGCACTTGGCCCGCGCAAACTACGAAAATGTGCAGAACGCAAAGTTCGTGCAAAAATTCGCACACACTTTCGCAAGGACTGTCGCGAAACTTCGTTCGAATTTTCGTTTTGTAGAACCTCTCTACTGAACCTTTCTTTAGCAACATGACGGCAACTGAAACAGCAACAGAGAAAGTACGATACATGTACTCTACATTCTTACAGGTACTACAAACAGATTGCAGATCGCAATTCTTGCTTTGGCGGCACGAAACTTTATTTGGGGCAGTGCAATCTCGGCGGTACTCACAAATCAAACAGCCCAGACTTGAGTAAACAAATCCAATCATACAAGTTCGAGATTTTCACGAGACTGCACCCATTGGCTTGTTTCGTATGAAACAAACAAGTTACTGAACCTCTCCACAATAGAGATTTCCCCTGAAATGCGAATTTATTTTGCAAACTCGGTCAATTGGTACTTGAACCTTTCCCTCCAGATTGGGAACTGCCAACGATAGTATGCCACTGACCAGTGCCTTACTTGTAACGTACCAATGTACAATGAATATGAGTATTTCGACAACACATCTAACATAAGCCTTACCGTCAAGAAGTTGAACTCGCGTTCTTCGCACACTGTAGACAAGGGCAAAGAGATAAAAATGGATCTAAATCCGAATAAAATCAGCACACGTTTCCGTAAATGAAAGGTGAACATAAGCAAATGAATCGAAGGAAACCGGTCAACTTAGAGATCACCTGTCATCGAGTATTCCGTAAAAGGCGGCCTCGCAGCTCGGCAGCAGAAGAGCAAAATTTAGAAAAGAGATCCTGTCAACTTTTCCATTATTAATTTCCGCCCTAAAATCAGCACACTTTTCCTGAATGAAAGAGTCAACACAAGCAGAATCAAAGGCAACTGGTCAACTCACCTGTCATTGAGTAATATTCCGCGAAAGGAGGTCTCAGCAGCGCCGAAACGAAATAAGCCAGGCCAGGAGACGAAATATCCGAAACAGTTCATGCAAGAAGCAGTTCCAAAGAAGGAAGTAAAGTTCCTCGCGCATGCACATCCGAACACGGATCCGCGGACTGCATGCACTGAACACAATGTCTGCCGTGCACGTGCACAGCACACGGCTACCACGTGTTGGTAGATCTAATACCGAGCACCTTGCGTAGAGACTTACGTAGCCTAAGTGAAATACCGAGCACCTTACGTAGAAACTTACGTAGCATAGCGATGTCGTTTTTTCTGCCATGTGAACACAATAATAGAAAAGCTGACAGGATCGCTTTTCTAAATGTATGCGAACTTGCGACGTGTCCGTCATGTACGAACTCTGTGTGTATGCATCTAGAGCACGCAGGTTTGGCATGTTTGTGCTCCACTTGTGCGCGTAGGATTCAAACGTGTGCAACGCACGCGTGTGGGGCACACCCATTACGTCTGCGGCACCGTGACATGGCCAGTATGTGATGTGCGACACGGGTGGGCAGGAGTGGCGCATGGGCGTGTTCGCACTGTGCACGTCTACACTCAAGCGTTTTGTCAGCTTTCCTGGTCCCAGGAGTGTTTGGATCTGAGGAAAACACGTGAACTGAATACAGTATACAGTGGAGCTAGTTTGAACTCTTGTGTGCTTTCTATGCCCATATTTATCTGCGGAATTGAGTACGGTCAAGAAATGCGTCTGAAAACCCTGAAGCACCATCGACTACTGGAATGTCCGAGAGCAGGGTCGAGGGGAACCACACTACCGAAAATAACACCTGTTCACGCCCTCCTTTCAGATTGCCGGCTCTTTTCGCCATTCGAATAATTTTCGATATGCACCTCGCGAACATACCACCTTCCTGCACCCATAGACCACAAACAATGCATGCTCCATTCGACGAGGTGGGTGTCATGAGTGCTCTTTCACGTCAGTCGCGTGAAAGTCATTTCAGGGTGAGAATCGTTCTCAAGAAAAAAAGATCGCAAAAATTAGTGAAAGTCTCGATGGAACGCTTGAGGATGGACTGGCTGTGCCGTGGCTCGTTTGAAGAGTCTAATCTAGACCCATAAATCGTGCAAATATTGGGCCAATATCGAGGGGTATGCCAATTTCATGGTTCCCTTCAAAAGCTTTTGCGCGGGATTTTGAATATCGATCTACACCCCAAAGCAAACCTACCTGCAAAATTTGAGCGAAATCTGAGAGACCGATTTGCACATATGTTCTGGTTTTCTCAGACATGCCTTTTTTCTAATTGTTTTACTGCAAGAAGTCGTCTTCATATAAGGAGGCAGATATGCCTGTTTGTTGTACGACTTTAAATAAATCCAACCAACCAATCAACCAACAACATGCGGCCGAGACTCAGTAGACGTCTTCTCTTGCAGACCCTTCTCATTGGTTGCAGTTTTGATTTTTCATACAGGATTTGCAATGTAGGTAGTTGACTCCGGAGATATAACGGAGCTTTCGTCTCTGCCATATACAACCAGCTGTTCATTCTGTCGCTTCATGAGGGTCAACAGGCCGCAGTTTTACAGAAGAACTGAAACAATGAGAACCGAGAACATGCAAAACCGTGAGTCTTGGGAATGCCGCTTCCATGCTATTGAGCAGAATGCTCAGTTTGCTGCGCAAACCCTGGCTGCTACATCCTCTGTGGAGCATAGCAAGGAACCAAGAAGCTTGACCCCTGTAATAAGCGGAGTAAAATTAAACAAAGGAGCAATCTGACTCTGAGGCGATTTATTCCTTATCACTTACGCTGAGAGCAGTTTCCCACGAGGCTCCATTTCGGCTGGCAAAAGCACTGGCTATTCCACCATAGCATGGTGGTTTTGAAATGATCACAATGTGCCTCTGTTAGGCGGAGACACGGATTTGGGAGAAGATAGACACAGACGCGGACAAACAGACACGGACAACACAGACACATGCAACACAGACACATGCAACACAGACACATGCAACACAGACACATGCAACACAGACACATGCAATACAGACACATGCAACACACACACACACACACACACACACACAGCACAGCCATAGACAGCCAAGACAAAGACAGCACAGACATAGACAGCACAGACATAGACAGCATGGAAGGCAGGGATTTAGAGAATATTAGATACGGTAAACACTCGTATATTCACAACTCGTTGTTGTCGGGCTGTTTTGCGTAGAGAAAGAGCGAGAGAGCGAGAGAGCGAGAGAAAGCGAGAGAGAGAGAGCGAGAGAGAGAGCGAGAGAGCCAGAGAGAGAGAGCCGGTGTCCCCACCCGTTTGCTGCAGCCCTCGGACGCTTCGTTGCTATTTTGCGGGGGGGGGGGGGGTGGGCATTAGCATGCCGTGAAACGTCAACGGGAACGAGGTCATCGGAGCGCTCGTGAAACGCGGCGTGATTTAGGATTAGCTTCACGCGTTCACAACCCGTCTACGCAAGTCGGCCGCTTTGCATTTGACAACAGTTTTCTGATATTTCTACTGGCAAAGATTTTTCGCGAACTTTCCCTTGAGAATAATACTCAGCCCGACTGACTATTACCCGAATTAAAAGAAACTCCATGATAGCCACATCGCCGATGGATGGGTACCGCAAAGGGTTGTGTTCACGAGGTCCATGCCAAAACATTCTCCGAAAGACTTTACAATGGAGCCAGTCAGTTGAGAATATTTGAAAAAAAGTGTACGTTTCGGGGCAGTAGACAAACAAATAAGCGAGGAAGCTAAAGGTTGTCTTGAACAAGTCTAATTTTTGGCACTTTGGTTACCCTCGATCCTGTTCTGTGTCATGTTAGTAATGGTTCTGTTAAAATCAATGCGCCTACTGGTTGTTTGGTACGTTTCGCCATCATAATTTATTCCAACAATAATGGGTGAGACATTTTCGAAATTTGAGAAACCTCGCAAAGACAAAAGAGGCGCGGTTTACGGTGCTATTCTCCGTATCATGGTTGAAATCGCACGTACCTCACTAAAACCCACCCGTTGCGGTCATGCAGAGTAGACTCATCTGAACTCGTCCAACGGGACGGGACTCTAACCCAGCTCCCCCTTCACGTTGCAGTTTCACGGCTTGCTAATGTCGCTTTTTGCTGCCGTGCCGTTGCCTCTGCCTGACCCTCCGCCGTTGTAGCCTGCTACGGTGACACGTTACCGCAACACCAACAACACTAGCAATTGCGAATCCAACAGACCCGCCTGCTATACACTAACAAACTTATTTGGTGTTCGCAATAAACACTTACGCTTGAACGTTTTGGGTTTCTCAAATGCAACTGTGAACAGAAATGTGCACAGTCTGGTCCGGAGGTGTTACAGAACAAAAGGAAAGGTTCTTGGAAATAGCACGCGCACAGCCACCAATATTGTTTCGGAGACAGCTGCCGTTCTCAGTTGAGAGCGGAGCGACATGCAGTGGCTTAACTGGTACACAAATTATCCTCGCCATCTTCTATCGTCTGTCGCTGATGCTACTGATACGCATGCTCCATCTAAACAAGTTAGACTACTCCTCTGTCCCAAACCTAAGCCTCAACCGTGCGCAACACCAGAGCTACGGAAACTGCTGCAGCGCAGAACTACTCTGCATCTGCATCGTAGAGTCCTTTCGCAGCCTGGGACTATGGTTCTTTTAAAAGCAACAGTATCGGTCTGTCAGACGCCACGGGACGCCTCTGAGTAGGAGACTGAAATTCCGTCTCCAGATTCACCGGTTCTCGGCACTCAGACGAAATCCTAGAGGTCAGTGGGCTCTTCTTATCAGTCAGTCTGGCAGGAGAAAAGTAAGAAATCTGCCAATTGCATCTCTCAGAAGTCTGACAGAGACATAGTGCACGATCCAAGCTGGCCTGCTGACATCTGTTTACGCCCAGCCACCCAACAGCCAACTCAACACGCCAACAACAACAACGCTGCTCAACTGTCCCATTTTCGACCCGTAACCGTGGGGCACATTGCACACTGCTCTAAGCAACAAACACAAGTTAGTCACCTGACTCTGACAACGTTTTACCAGCCATACTGAAGCATGGTCGTGATTCCATAGCAGTTTCTCTCACTGATATTATCAATATATCTCTGAGCACAGGGTGCGTACCAGATATTTTCAAGAATGCCACAGTCAGTCCAGTTTTCAAATCAGGCGATGCAGAAAGCTCTACTAATTACAGACCAGTCTCATTATTGCCCATATGCAGCAAGATATTAGAACAAGTTGTTTTGGAGCAGCTAATTGCATTCTTTAAGTTACACAACATCATGTACGTGCCTAACAATAAATTTGCCTACCGTACCAACAGCTCGTGTGAGGACTGCCTAGCGCTAGCGGTCGACAAATGGCTCAAAGCCCTTGATAACCACGAGTACTGTGGCAGCGTGTTTGCCGATATGAGCAAACCTTTTGACTATCTTTTTCTTGTCACTACGTTTTTGTCAGTTATTGGATTTGCATGCTGTTTTCTTGATTCTTCACATCTATATTTTTTCGTGTCACTTCTACACATAATTGGAGTGACATATTTCTGAACTTAATTTCCTTATAGTTGTAGTCTTTTAGCTTATTTCCATCATTCCCTGTAGTATTTTGACAAGAAGGGAACGAAAACGTTCAATACTTTGAAACATGTCCTAATTGGCTGGGGACGGTGACTCTTGCGTAGATGCATGCGTAGATAACACATTTTTTTGTAATAATAATAATAATACGAAGTAGTGGTTGCGACTGGGGAGCAAACCTTTCTTACAAATAATAATAATAATAATAATAATAATATAAATTTGAACTCGGAACCTGAGCCTTCCAAGTTGGAAGGTTGTTGGTTTGCGCCTTGGAGAAATGTTGGAGCTAGGTGTCAGATTGCCGAATGTCCCAGTACTCCTTGTCAGTTTTGTGCCATTTTTGTCGGACTCGCTGACTGTATAAGATCTGGTTACGTTGGTGGACAGATTTTCATAACTCGTAAAATTTTGTCCATTACTTTCTTCATCATAATAATGATACTTGTAATGTTGTTGTTGTGTCTGACTCTATCCCAAATATCTTATTCTGTGTTTGGTTTTCCAACTCATTGGGTTGTAGTTTCCATCATGAGTTTGATTCCATCGTGAGTTTTGATTCTATTTGCTATTTTTCGTTCCATTTTTGAGCTCACATCTATCTGCTTTTTTGGTGTTATTGGCCCGGACAAGAGGCTTCTTTCCATAAAAAAAATAATTCAGATGATACATGTAATTATAATTATCCTATTATATTATTGCTTAGGGAGGTTGAAGAGGTACCATCTACACACTAGAGCAATTTCAAGCAATAAGTCTTTGTCTTTCGCTGTCTGCATGGTTTATCTAGCCCACTTCTCAGCCTCCTATTCTCTCCCCTCTGCACTGGCCCCCATACTGCTGCCACAACCCGGGGCAAAGCTACACCTGCTCTTGTCTTGCCCACCTGCCTGCCACTCCCGGTATGGTTTCCATTCCATTGCTTATCTTGGTGGCGACAGGTGGAATGCGCTGCCTCCGTCTTGTCGCCTGGCCGGGTCACCTGCTTTGTTTCGCGCTCACACAAAGTCTCATTTAGGGTTCCCAGTAAAAAGGCAACATTGCCTGTTGGGAAATCGCTAACAACATAAGAGAAAAAAACAATAATAATTGCATCTTCGTGCACCTGCTGAAGACTGTAATACGGTCGGCGTTGTCCGCTTCATATTATTGCATATCCAAAAAACAGGAAATAGAGATGAAAATATTACCTTGCGTGCTCAGATTGTGTTGAATCAAGGGGGGTGGTAAGAGACCTGCACAGTGGACTCGGCGTGGGAACATAGGAGTAGAAGAATACCGGTATTTTACTACTCCCTTGTACGAACTGGGGCTTTCTTGCCACTCGTTTCACGTACGCGAGCCCCAGCTTACGACAAATCCCTGGAGGCGATTCCAAAAAATCACGTTATCGAACAAGGTGTATGGCATCAAGATAAAATCAACACTAATTTTTTTAGGGGCAGCCCAAGGTTACCAATAATATTTTCAAAACAAAATGTTTTCGTTTGTGGTTGGGTTTGACGGAGTTTCGCTTTGAAAACAATCATTGAATGCTGATGAAGAATGCCCAGTTACTTCTGGGTGTCGAAAATTGACATCAATATTTTATTAGAATTCGTTTTACCTGCAGAAAAGGTGGGTGGGTGGGTGGGGGCCGAAAAATACTAAAACATTTCGTTTTGTAAAAAGAATCGGTAACCCCGGACGGCCCCTTACAAAGTCTGATGGTGCTAGAGAGGTTCCGCACTACGTGAACTTTAGCAACTTTACGTCGGCGGGCCGGCAAAATTCCCGTGAATTCGCGAGTTTGCACTCCACATACTGAAAGTTGTCTACGTAGAGTACGTAGATAGCCTGAAGCCGGCTTTGATAACGTACATGTCGCTGGTCCGTAGATTGGGGTACAAATCTACGACTCTCTCCCCAGATCAATCTGGTCGTGCACTGCCGCGTTAGGACTTGTCAAGGGCAGCGTACGTAGATCGATTAGGTTTTTTTTATTATATATACACATGCAGAACCTCTTTATTATTATCTTGTAATATTGAACAGGCTCTGCTGGGGTGACAGCTCCACCATGGCTCAGTGGTCGGAGCATTGCTAACCTCAAGCAAAGGCCCCTGGTTCGATTCCTGGTGATGACAGTTTATTTTTTCTTCCAACTTTTCCATTTTTCGTTTCCACAACTTCCGAATATTTACTTACTTGTTTGGAATTCTGCATCAGCTGGTTTCAGCCCGCTGCTATGACCTGGGCTCTGGGAGTAACTGAAAGGCAACATCATCACCGTGGCTAACACAGCCACGAACATCAAGGTGCAGCTCGGTTGAAGAACCGCCTACAATAGTAAAGAATACAAATCAAAGGTGTGCTTAATGCAACGAGTTTTTACCCATATTGATACATGTACTTAAAACCTTCACATCATTTTATCACTGTAATATCCTTCAGTGTGATAGTCTCCGGTCAGTTCTAGCATCTGCTACATTAACCAGCATCATCATACTTGTAACTGTTATGTACAAAGAGTAGGGGAAAACGTGATTGATTTTGGACGATATGCTCAAATCATAACCATGTGTTCTGTCACCCTCTCTCTTCTCTCTGTCTCTCTCCCTATTCTCTCTGCGTCTCTACCTCTGTATCCCATCGTCTTAATTTCTCTATAACGTTACGCAGTCCCCTTTTGTTACAGCAATCTGCGGATATAAATCTAAGTCAATCTCTCCTTCGCTTTTTGTCTCTGCTTGGACTGCGTGTAACTAACTCTACTCATGGTGCGTTCCTAGTATTATGATGCCCATGCATTAGAACTGTGATAAAAAAATGTTGACTGAAGTGTGAAACAACGTTCAACTTATAAAATATTGTTCAATCATCCACATCACCTAATTAAAAAAAGAGACAACCAGCTCCAGTGGTTATCACCTTTCACAACTGCTGTCATTCGCACTTTTGTAGATTTGCGCCATCATTTGCCTCATGATGCAGTCATTCACGCTTGGCACTGCCGCGATTCACAACTTTTAGATTTGCACCATGATGCAGCCAATAACAGTTTGCTTTGTGAGTATATAAACCAATACTAATCCAGATTTACTCATTGCTGTCTTCTGATGATCGCTAAGTGCGTGAAACTCGGAATTAAAACACTTTCTCTGTCCTCTGATTTTTTTTTAAATTATTGTTTCATTGTTCTGAGTGCACTCACCTTTTTTGGTTTTTTTGTTATTCCTATTTTACTAGGGAATTACCAACAGGCGTCATCGCCTTCTTACAGGGAACCCTAAGAACTTTACTTTCATCGATATTATTTTATGTTGCCTAAACACCATACTTGTATGTGTTACTCAATCTGCGGGTACAACTGTTTCGTCCTTTGTGAACTCACCAGCGCAACACAGAAAACATGACGCCAAACCTGATAGCAATGAGACATAATATGTTCTATAACCAGACTTAAACCAGTCCCGAGAGTATGTTTCACGGAATTTCTGTTGTCCGCTTTACTTCTGTTTACTACCCAGTTACAAACACCGTGGAGCTGACTTGTAATGCCATGTGTTTGTAAAAAGCATCTGTCCAGCTGCCTAAAAGAGCTACAAATGTAGAAACAACCGGCACGTCAAAACCAATTATTATTATTTTGTGTTCTACACGCGGCAGTACGCAAAACCCGAACATGTACGCATTTGCAATTTTCGCTGCAAAATGGCGGCAATAGGCAACTGATGTTATAAGGATGGCAATAAACAGCACCAGCTGAAACCTCACTTCACGAAGGTTTTATTGAAATGTCATGGACAAATTCTAGAGAAAGTGGTGATGGACAAAGAAATAGCTACGATGCAAATGTAATGTGAAGAGCAATAAGAGGAATGATGAAAATATAAAAATGCATCAAACTACATGGAGCTTTTGCACAACGCTGATCGGGTAGCATCGTTGAACTGTTGCACCACAGACCATTATATAGACCATTATAATTATATTTTAGGAAGAATATTAATAAAAATAACACCTAAACGAAGCCAGAAATGTATCACAAGGTATTCTTGCAAGATGCGAACTGCGTAAAAACTAACAATCTAAGAAACTAAAGGACAACATTCAAGTACGAAACAACAATTTCCTTACCACTGTTTTTTTCAAATAGTGGTTTCGACTTCCGGGATGATTTTTTATTATAGGAATGGGTTTGCTCCCACACTGGAGCTCGCGCTATTCCGCCGACTTGACTTGACACTTGACTGACTCCCGACTGCCATTGCAGGTTAGAAGGTTCGAAGGTTCGATGGACTTCTCGTGTGCTCTGCATGGCAGTCGTGAGTCAGTCAAGTGGAGTCGGCGTAATAGTGCGAGCTCCAGTGTGGGAGCAAACCCATTACTGTGTTTTTTTTGTCCCTTTGAGTGTTTGATTGAATATCTAAGTTATCTTTCATGCACCTGGTATCTTGCAAGAATACATTGTGTGTTTTGGGCATTACTTTAATAGGTGTAACTTATCACAATAATTATTAATCCTATATTAAAATGGTCTGCGACACAATTTGTTAATCCGTACAACGATGCTTCATGATGAGCATTGCGCAAAATTTAGCATTTGTCTTTATTTTTCATCGCTCCAATTATTGTTAAGGCACAAAACTGACAAGGATATTCTTCATTGCGGATCCCTTCCCCTCATTGGAACTCTCCGCACCTGAGCCTTTCTAGTTGGAAGGTTGTTGGTTTCCGCTTCGTAGATGCATTGGAGCTAGTTGTCAGGTCGTCGAATGTCTCGATATCCCTGTCAGTTTTGTACCTTGTTGTCGCACTATCTGACTGTATAATTATTATCTCGTTACCTTGGTGACTGTTAGTCATAACTAGTAAGGCCACACCAAGTTATTTCTATGTTTCGCGTCACCCGCCCGCGTACCTTTTCGAATCCTTGACAAGAAAAAAAGAACCTAGACGAGCCAATCGATGGCTGTTCTGGCGAACAATCTCTAGCCAGTATGGCGGATCAGAGGTTATCAGCTTCTCGATAATCTTGCATTCCAGGCGATGGTACGTAGAAGGTGCGAGAGATGAAAATTTCTATTTTCCAAGCCGTGCGGTAGGCCTAGGGCCTGCTCACCAAGCGAGCAGAGATTCCAGGTGTCAAGGACTTCGAGATTTTCCACGATTGTGATGGAGCGGGATCCCACTCGAATCATGTCAAAATGCAGAAGGAGCCATCCATGAAATCTCTGTATCGCTCCAGCCCAGTCTGCCAGCTGTCCTGTGACGACTTGTTGTCGTTTTGGATAGAAGTGACAGTTTAGTAGTGGTATTCTGTGTGCAACATGGCTCAGTACACATAGAATGGAGTTTTGTTTTTTCTTCTGTTTTTGTTTTTTCCGCCCGCCCGTGTGCCTTTTCCAGGAAATATCCGACACGAAACATAGAATTAACTTGGTGTGGCCTAACTTATAGATCCTTTTCTCTTTGCATAATACTATTGGCTCAAGATCCGAGTTCCTATTATTGTCCTTCACATTACATTTCCATCGTAGTTATATCTTTATCCAACACCACGTTCTCTAGAATTTGTTCGTTACATCTCAATAGAACCTTCATGAAGTGACGCTTCGGCTGATTCTGTTTATTGCCATCCTTAAACTTGTGTCACCTGGCCGCTTGTTTAAACTGACATTATACTATCCATTTCAGTGAAACCTGTAACTAACGACCACCCCTTGGGGCCAGAGAAAGCGGTCTTTAGTGGCCGGTGGGTGATCCTTGGTTAGAGGTTTGCACCGCCCAACCATGTATGAATTTGAGACCATCCATGCCTGGCAAAGTGGTCTTTAGTACCAGGCTGCTCGCTAGTCACGGTGGGCTTTAGTTACAGGTTTTATTGTACTTAGTTTTTTGGTTGGAGGAAAGCAAATCAGCACACGAGGCACAGAAGCCATAATAATTTCGACTACAGTCCATTCATCGGAAACGGGCCCGCTGGCTTTTGAAAGTCTGATTTGGGCCGAATTGAGGATCAAAAATCCACTATAAATCTCAAAAATCTGGGTTTTGGATCTGCTTCTCAATACATTTTGCCATGGCATACCTGTCCTAATTTTGTAAAACCTGACTGAATTTCTATTTCCCTGTTCTTGGACCTTTCTGGCCTCAAATGTGGCAAGGAGTAATTGCATATCGGAGCTTCGAGCTTCGATATAACAGTGTATACCAACCCGAAATCGGGTTTTCCTTTGCTCGAGATAGCATTTTCAAAACGCAGTTTTACTAAAATTTGACAAACAAATTTTCGTAAGGAAAACTGCTCCACACGTGATCCATCAGCTCAAACGCGGGAACTCTAGCTTCTTCTACACCTTTTTTCTTTGCTCGAGGAAGTGTGTAGTTGAAGTTTTCTGTTTTCAGAGTTTTCGGTATGGATTCCGCACCTCAGGATGTGTTTTCGCTAGTCCAGCAGGCTCTGGACCATGCCTTGCGCCCACTGGAGAGGCGTTTGGCATCCCTGGAAGGCCACAACACGTCCATGCCTGTGGGAAATTTGGAGTCCGGGCAAGAGCACGACTCGCGGATCGTGGATGGGACATGTACCCCGGAAACTGATCCACTCCTGATCCCGGTTGCTTCCCAATCGGCTGACTCTTCGTTGCGAGGTCTACTGCCTGCAGTAGTCAGCCAGCTCAGGCTTCCAGAGCCGGTGTTGAGCATACGCGTGGTGGGTCCGTTGAGGGCGACCCGACAAATTTTCCCACGCTGCAGCCACTCGCTGCTCGGTCGACCTCGAGAGGGCCACCAAGGCTACGACCTCTCCCCTCAGACCCGAGTGGTCCTGAAGATCCAGGCGATTTGGCGCAATTAAGCCACCTGCCGCTTGGTCCGACGCTAGCGGGTGTGGAGGCTGATGATTTGGACTCCGGTAGCACACATAGCCTGGTGTCCGACGGTGTGGGTCCCAACACTGACTGGCCAGCGGAGGACGGGGATGAGGAAGAGAAAAGTTTTACCCGTCATGTCTCGCCCGAAACTGCTAAGTTTCTTGAGTCATGTCTTCGCTCAGAACTCCGACGCAAATCCCGGCAGGCCATTTCCCGGCGCTACCCTCGCCCTGACACTCCAGCAGCACTAGTCCCGGCTTTGGATGCACAAGTCGCCCGCATGGTGTATGGGGCTGACAACAAGCCGCCTCGTTCGGAGGCTCGGCCCGATAGGCCTCAGTACCTGACGCAGGCGAAATTATTGAATGTGGTGGGTCCGTTGTGTGACATACTTGAACACACGCAAAACCCTGGCCTCGGTGAGCAAGGTCAACAGATCCGGGAGGCAGCTACGGCAGCACTG